AAATGAGCGGTGTGAATACGAAAATTGCACAATGCGTTCATTTTCAATGTACCGTAATGCAGAAATTCGTGAAGAATTACAGTACTGTACTATTTATCACTACTGACAGTCTTCATTCTGGCATTTTCCGTGTACGCTCACTGGTTCTTTTGACCATTCCCGACAACCACAGCAGTTACGCTTTCTTCGATTCCACAGTCGTTAATTCCACGAACCATGCGGAAGAACCCTGAAAAACAGTTGCAATGAGGCCTCACTTTAGTGAATGAGCGAGCAGTTGAGCACCTGTGGATCTCCCCTTACACTCTCGATACTTCAAGTATCTCTTTTATGTTCTCGTTAAAGCTTTTTGTGAAATAAGCGCGAAAATCAGCCAAAACTGGCAGAAATTTTCAACTCTTTGGCTTCCCAGACATTGTCTTTTTCCCAATATAGGCTGAAGACTCTGCTTGATCTTTGAAAATTTGAATCGTTCTGAGGTTCTTGAAGCAACAGAAGCAACAGTCCCAGCTGGGCTGCAATCCCCTTAGGCCGATTCCCACTTCGGAGCTGTTCAGCCCCTAGTCAAGAACGTAAGAAGTGTGACTGAACAAAAACTCACCTTGGAAAGCCGCTAGGGAGGGAGCTGAAGTGGGCGTGGTCGGAATCGGCCGAGGGGATTGCAGTCGTTTCCGACCACGCCCACCCTGCTGGGACTGTTGCTTTAAATGAGCCGCCTCTGATTTTTGGCTCTGAGATCATTTTCCAGGTGCACTAAATACGGTCTTACGTTCAGAAAGGCTTACCATGCTCTCCCCAGTCGCCCCACGAGTTGGCGATGATCCAATAGGGTGTGTCGCCATCTTGTCCCCATCCGATTATTTTCACAGCATGAGTACCATTTGCTTTACCAGCGGTGTACTGCAAGAAAGTGATATGATAGAAAGTGATAAGTGATACCAACAGGTTTTCACTGTTAGCTTCATAACCCAGTTGAGAGTTGGGTACCAATTCGTAGGCCCTACTGCGCAGAATTCGAATCCATCTATCGTGAAACTTTGAACAGTCGCCCAATCACAAAATTGTAGACACGGTCACTAACCGGTGAGTCTGCTCCGCAGATGGTAGGTGTCAAGCATTGAGCTGTTCTGTTGAAGGCAATCCTTGGGGGGGGGGGGGGGGGGGAGAGGGGGCTCGAGTAGGATGGGTGGTCAGTGAAAAATGACGAATGAACCATAAACGACCTTTCGATTAACCCCCGAATAACCCCTCTCCCCGCATCTTTTTCTGCCACATTCCACCTTGAAGCGGAGGGGCAGCTTCAGCGTCATTTGCTGGCTGCATGCCCGCGACTGATACGGTCATAAAATTCCAGTGCAGCTGGTGAATGCTGCGCAGTTTCTCTTACGCTATGCTCCTTTTTCACTGTTTGTTTTTTAAATTGTATTTAATTATAGATTATATTACATAATGTAATTTCGATTTATATGCTGCCGCAACGCGCGGCACCCTTTTCGCAGCTCCAGAGCGGTATCCAACAGTGGAAGGCGGAGCTTGCGTGCGAAGGTGTGGATTGCGGGTCGGGTTAACTTTTAGCACCATTGTCGCGCATCTTCGAGTCGTCAAATGGGTACGGCACCAACAGTTGTCTGCCTGTCCCACGATCGGAGATGGAACAGGTAGGCGTGCTTAATCTTGAACCGTGCCTTTGAACTCGAGATCCGATCCCATTCAGCTCATGGCCGCGAAGCGCATTGTGTTGTGGAATGGTCGAGAGTTGCTGCATGGTGAAATTTCACAGAACGGCACGACAGCTTATGGTCTCAGGTTAGATTAATTACATTTTAATATTTGATGTAGCGAAATTCGTTAAAAGCCACCGAGTTAACTTCTTGCTCGTAAGGCAACTAGAAGCCGGCATCCCTGCAAGCGTCGGTGCAGAAACATTTCTTTGATCCGGTGGAGTCGTTACTATGCTTCCACTTGACGGCTCTCTGACGGCTCTCTGACTCCTTACTCTTTTGGTTTCTTGGCTGCAGGACGAGATAATCTCAAAATGTGCCTCAAAATAAACCCCCATTTCCTCTGCTGCTTTGCAGAACTTTCCCAGTGGAAGACACATTCCACTCGGCTTTGCCGTCATTGCTCAAGAGGCCTGCCGGTTTCTTGATGCTTGAATCACTGGGACGCAGAGCGCTTTCCTAACGCCAAGTGCAGTCTTGAATTTACCACAGAAAACTCAGGGCTGTTGGACAGCTATAATAATAGTCGGAGAAGACCATTTCATGAACAGGCTGTAGGGGAAACAAGTCAGAAATTGGTTTCTAATGCATCGCAATAAGAAGCGACCTTGATTTGCCTCCCGTGGGCTCAGTCAGGACTTTTTAGCTCCAAATAGGTCATACAAAATTGTCACCATTTCTATCATTGCTGCTATAACACGAACATCAGAGCTCATAAGGTTACCGTTGAAGTCCCTTTACTTGTTGTTTTTGGATCACCGAAAGCAAAATTGTTCCGGAATGAGATCAGGTTCGCCACGGCTGTCGTTGTTTATTCTTCTTCTGAACCTCTTCTTACGGATTCCCTACAGGAGATCCCTAACTGAGGAAGCTTATCACGGTGAGCGAGCAGTGGATGGAATGGAGTACTCGCCTGGAGGTCGGTCGCGCGGCGAGAAGGCAGAGACGCAGACGGGTCAGCGGACGAGTCGCAGCGCGTACTGCAGTGATTTCGCGTCAAGTTAATAGAATGCACTACAGTACGTCCCACATCACACAGCACGCGCTGCTACTTGTCATCTGACCCGCGTGCGTCTCAGCCTTTTTGCCATGGGCCTCCTGTCGGGTACCCACTCCCAGTATTGATCTACTACTCGTTCCCCTTGGAGCTTCTTTAGAGGCTATGGTAGCTCAGAACAGATGGAGCACGTTGAGTGGCAGGGTTAAATTTTTCCTCTAGTGGCTATCACCATAGCGAAGATCTACCTAATGAGTATAGTGATTCGATGGGATCGATTGAGTCATCCACATTTTTGAGGATTTTTTAGAGCTGTAGTAAAACACTCGGCGAGCTAAACCTGTTGGTATGATTTTTTGTTGAAAAACTGAGACTAAAATGTGGTGTACCAAAGGGCGAAAAATTGGAGAATCCGCAAATTTTGCGCCTTTTTCCAAACAATCAGAGTAAATTCTGGGTTTTGCACTACACCGCCAAAAAGCAAGGTAGTGGGCGTGGGTGAGCCGAGAAGTTATGTTTGAAATGCATGAACGAATGTACTGTATCAGTACTGCAATGAGAAGATCTGGAAATAGGAGCGACTATTAAACGAAAAAAAACGCTCTGTAGCGAACCTAAATCGTCTCCTCAACTGGGTTCACTGAGCGACTTGGAGGACCGAGCGTGGAGCTGCAACCGGTAGGCTACCGCAGAAGCACATCGAGACAGAGTGTAGACTTATTTTGTTCTCTTGGAGTGATATTCTTAGTTTTTCTGCAAGATCTTACCTTATATATTCCGCTCTTGTAATGATAGAAGTCTTCATGAAACGGTGTATACTGCGGCGACCGATCCGCGCTGCATGATTTCACTCTGGATGTCCGCCACCGTGGTCCCTACCGAGTAGCCGTTTATGCCTAAACGTGTCAGAGTTGTAGCAGAAACTAAAGTGTTCGGATCTGTTGTTAGACAGTGGCATGGAGCTGAGTAGAGTCAGGGGCAGCAGAAGTCAAAAATTGCATTGTTGGTGAATTATTGATGATTGACTGCCTTTAGAGGAACGAGTCGCGATCGAAAAGGTGTGTAATGTTGTCCGGAAAATAAACATCAGGTATGGAGAGGTTTTTTAATGAGGAGAAGAACCGAAAGGACCCTGGACAGAGCAAAGTGGCGACGGCTGACAAGAACAGCGGACCATGCGACTGCGCCGGGCGGGTCAGGGAAAATAGGGACGAGGGACACATTCTTCGCACCTCATTAAGCGTGCCTCCAACTAAGGTGCGAAGCAATCTTAATTAGCTACGAAGGCATAGAGGTCACTATGCTACGCGACCGTCTGCAGAAGTCGACATAAGACATATTGGAAAAGCACTATCAGTGGAAGTCCATGATATGTCCATACAAGAAATTCAGTGGAAAACAATTATTATGGAAATTTTATTAATTATTATTATTAAGTGATGTGAGCATAAAGGATAAAATAAAGCATTTGCCGTTGATCAATCCCTTTTTGGGATGCGGCACGCATTCTACTTCCATTTGTACATTCGTAGTGGCGTTTGAATGCGATGTGGCCTATACAATGACTTGCGGGGGCCAGCCGATGTACAAGTCAGTGTTTTTATCCTCCCAGACAAGTCTGGTACCAATTAACCGACCCCGGAGGGATGGAAGGCTTGGTTGGCCCGGGCGACTCACGACCCAGGATTTGATCCCCGGACCGCTCGCGTGGTAAGCGTGCCACTTGCCACTACACCACTTCCGCCCTTATAATAAACATATAAACACAAAAATACTATGCAGTCTGTCGGTAATATATCTTGACATTTTCCAGCAGTAAGACTTT